AAATATGTTAAAAAAATAGTGAGGTGATCTTGATACAGCGTAATAAATTTGTATTTTCTATCTGGCCGAGACTGGGAATCGGTAAGATCTACCTGACAACGGAAGTTAAATTCAGAAACAATCATAGTTTCGCATCAGTGCTCTCTTAATACCTTTTTGTTTTCCTGGCAGAGCTCACAAAGGTGGTTGTTATAGTTCAATATCATTACGTGTAACGTTTTTGTAACTGGTTGAAAGTTCTTTCGACATTCTGTCACGTCGTTCCTGTGCAGTACTCAAAATGAGTTTTCATGAAATATGGAAAATAACTCAGCGTCCGTGACGCAAGACTGCATAGTACTGACGCTATCTTTTAACAGGATAAATGAATGTACTTTGTTTTCCACAAACGTCACAATCTAGCGATTCGGTGACCAGTAGTCCCGTGGTCCCGTGGTTCCTTCTTAGTAGTCATTTTGGCCTTTTCGCATCATTTATTAACTTTTAGTAAGTAGTTTCGGTTTTTCAAAACGAATGGGAAATGTATTTTATACTTTGCCTATTTGGTATTTGGCATTCTACAGAATGCCTAGGAAATGTGTGAAATATGATCTTTTCATACATTGCAGGCTAGTTTTAGGCATTTTATGCAATGCCTAGGTATTCTATGGAATGCCAGATTTCATTACTTTGCCGGTAACATATATATATATATGTAAAATAAAAAATATATAAATCAAAATTATCAATTTAAACTAGCAATAGCTTTTGCTTAATTACCCCTTTCTATTCTAAAAGTTGTAATGCCTTTTTTCGGACTGCGTCATTTCTAGACCAATAAATCTCATATGACTTGCGAATATATTATTATGTATGTACTATATATATGTATATATAATGTTGAGCATATATATATTACACCTACACAGGAGGGGTGTACGAACACTTACAAAAATAATACAAATCTTATGAAATAAGAGAAAATATTTATTTAGGTTGGATCACAGTACATATTGCATGCGACATCGGGCTGGCAGATTTAGCGGTCTTGCGCAACATTTAAGGGAGTATAAAGCCATTCCTCCTGTAAACCATTCCCTAACTTTTTTAACTAGAGGCAGAGCACGAAGTTTTGGATTCCAAGTAGCCCCATATATGTTCAACAATGCTTAAGTCAGGGAATTGAACAGCGTCGGAGAGATAAAAATGTGGGCTAAGGCGACGCCAAAATATTGCACTCCAAACATGCAAAGAAACATATCTATTATTTACAGTCGGCAAGAACAAGCACGCTAAACTGTTCTCTGAGTGTTATCCAGGCAAAACTCCTGCCAGTGGTCTGAAATACTATGAATGCTGGTTTATCAGACAAGATGATTTGTTGGCAATACTATGAGACCTAGCACTAGTAAGCTGTGCACCACTGACTTCACTTGAAAGCACTAAGTGATGGCATCAACGGTTTACAAATTGCCACTATGCCATAAATCTTCACTGCATGAAATTCCCTTTTAACAGTTTTAGCTTTATTGAGACTATGGAGATAAGTGAGTATTTCAGATGTTATCTGAGATAACAAAATAACTAACAATAACTTGGGCTTTCGATCTATACGCTTTCCAGTATACTTCTATCCTTACCAGTCAGCTTTTTCTTTCGTTCATTTATCGCTTTCAAAACTTAACCTTATACTCTTACGCGCATTCTGTCATAATTTCTGATACCGTGCTCTTTGCACACCCAAATCATTTTGCTGTTTCCGTAAACGATGCTCCAGCTGAACGTTACAACAATCGTACATCTGTGAAATCCCGCTTTCCTAGTGTGCCTTCGTGGTGTAGTGGTCAGCACACAGAGCCGGTATTTCAGAGTTCCGTGGTTCGATTCCCGGCGAAGGCGCTGCTAATTTTTCATCTCTTCTGCTTCTAAAAATTACCTAATGTCTCTACACCTCTTTAGAAGGCCATCACGTCTGGAATTTCAGCGTCTCTCAAAGAGCAAGATTTGTACACATGTAGTACATTTTGTACATATGATTAGTATATTAAACATCTGTATAGCTAATGAGAGACTGATCTTCCTGGCCGTTAGTTGATAGACGTCTGTGGCAGATGGTGTAGCTGTACTTCAGGTATAAAATGTAGCATACGTCTTCGCAAGTGTTTATATTATTTTGAACCCTCTCTGTATAAAGGCATGTTTTTGAACTTCATAAATGAAGAATGGGGATAACTGTAATAACTTTAGTGCACTTAAAACTAAGAAAGATCCACTGAGAAAATTTCAAAATTAACGTAAGTGATTACTTTACATCAAAAGACGCAGTGATTGAGTCCATATAAATTGTTATTTGTACTACGTACTGAAAAATTAATAATTTGCACAATTACAATTCTTAACCTCTTGTGTTTGTGTGTTTCCTGAAATTCAGAAACACGCTATCACCCAGATCCTTATCGAACTCTAAAAAATGAAAACAAAAATGCATTATTAAAAATTCACAGAAGTGATTATTTTATAGCAGTAAAGGAAGCGTGCTGTCGTGAGCCACAGTCAACCCTTTTCTGCAATAAAGAAGAAAAGAAAAATTAAAGGGCTCTCATGCGCATGAGGCCCTTTTCTTTTTTTCTCTGCTACCCACCCTCAGGCTAACAGAATATTTTATTGCATTTTCAGATAGGTGTTTATTTTTATGTTTATAATAATCTTAAAAAATTTAAATATCACTAATAAACTGTAATCTCACTCTGGCAAACTTGTTCGTCGCTTTGAAAGCCTACGTGTTATCATAGCCTTGCGTTAAATTTCAGTCTTAGGAATTTACGAACATCAGAATTTTTAGAGAAAATTGTTAATTTCAAAAGGCATTTTGAATTTGTATGTGTAATCTTGGTCTCTACATTGCTTCATCTGCAGGTCTATTTATGAAAATTATTTGAAACTACTATTCCGGTAATCTTGAAATTTGTATTTATTATCCCAGGAAGTATTTCTAAACCATTCCTATTCATAACATATTGTACGTTCTATAACTCCAAGCCGCAATTTAAACTGTCCATCAAGTCTTCAGAAGTTAAATCATCACTGTTTTATACTGAGTTAAGTATGTGCTACTAATTTGGATGATGAGGTTTTGGCAAAATTTCAAATTTCTAAACTTACAATGCTTGGAGGCACACCAGTGACCAAGCGGTGAAAGCCGTTAAACATTTGTAGCTCGGTCCGAGGTTTGAGTCCCGAAGAACGGCATGGCTGCACAGAGCGTTTTTGTCGTTTTTCCAGCGTGTAAGGTGGATACGATCCAGTTTTCCTTTAAACGTCCTCCACAGGGCATCCCACCCTTTCGCTGTAGTGCCTAATGGCATAGCACGTAATCCATGAAAAAACATACTACTTCGAGAATTTTGGTAGCCCGCCAGTTTCCGAATGATTAAGCCAGCTGACAGTGATAGTTTGCAGCGGCTTTAAATACGAAAGGGGAAGTTGCATTGAATTTTCATGGTTTTCTGTATGTGAAATGAGAATGAGAATTTCTGTACGTGAAATAAATTTCCCTTAAAATGTCCTCCATGAAGGCATGTGTTCCCTTAGCAGATACCCCTTTCATGCTTTATCATAATTCAGTGAACGTTTAATTTAGGATTTTGAACTAAGAGAATTTAGGCTCCCACCAAATGCGCATGAGTCCTTGAAGAAATATAATGGAAAGATTAATCACCGTTATGAGAGGTACTTGAAGAAGACAGCCCGATTTGAATTTCGAGACTTTTGATTTCATATCGACATTCTAGCTGTCTATATTTTAAAAGAATTTTCGACGGGTAATATATTCCTGCACCTATCTAGATGATGTGGCATTCAGTTTCAAATTTTCAGATCTTGCAAGCTTATCCAATTTTGTTTTCTAGATGAATATCGGGCATCGAAACAGATTATTATATGTTTGATGACTGCTTTTATTACTGCATTCCGTTAAAAGGATACGATTTAATCCCTACTGAGCAATTTATTTAATTTACTTTCAATTTTTTGGTAATTTGTTGCAGGTATGCAATGCGACAACATCCTTCTTCATTTTATTGTTTTAATAGATTTATTTTTTAGCTATTTTTGTATTTCTTCGCTTAAAATCTATGATCATTAAGAGACATTTACATAATTTTCACTTGAAAAATATTTTTCTCGTTTAACAATTTCTTTAGACGCAATATCATAAGAGGTCAGGTTGGTTGGATTTAACTGATATGTAACAAGACTTTTTTTAACTTTCTAGATATGCAGGGTGTTTCAGAACTATTGTTGAGAAATATGCATGGAATTCTGGAACACGATAACAGGCAACAAGCATATGGGAACGTACGCTCGCATGCACAACCCCAACGCGCAAGAGGGCGCTGAACATCGGAGGAAGTCTGGCCAGGATAAAGAGGCAGGAAGCATTATTTGTGTGTATGAGCGTGCTGAAGTATGAATCGCTACACGAAATGGCGGGTATGGACCTTGTATACGGTGCAGCTAATTGCATAGCATTTCTTAGCAGCCGCTAAGAAAATCTATCATTTCCAGTTTCCCAACAGATGCTTCCTTAATCACAACATGTTCGGATCGATGCGTCTTTGTTGAGAGGAGTGTATTACATCTGCAGGCCGCAGTTTCGATCATCTACTACTTTATCAGTTTCATTTTAAACAATGCTTTTGTACTTTTCTTTGCCTAAAAAGTGCTCATTATTTATGACCCGTCTTGCGTTTTTCTGACTCTATGGGTGTTTCTGTCTCTATGAGTTTATGCATCAAAGTTGCGTGGGCGACGTCACCATCCTATGTGATTATTGCTTGCTATCGTGTTCTGGACCTCTACGCACATCTCTGAACAATATTTCCGAAACACCCTGATTCTTTAAAGTAATTTTTTACAGAAATTGAGAAAGACATGAAGAAAAATTGACTTATTTCATTATTAAATGTTTATTGCATTAGCTAATTTATTTTTTTTTCCCTGTTACTGTATTACTTTTTTTTTACAGAAAGCAACGTCTCGGGGCCACTTTTAAGATATGGCGCTTAGCTGTGGTGCCAAATGTGCCAAGGGTGTGCTCATAACGTTTAATCTTGTATTCTGGGTAAGTTGAAATATTAGAAATTTAATTTTTTCCTGAATAATTTCGGTTACCATGAACAAATTAAATTTATATTTAAATAACGTAATTTTATATTTCCAGTTAATTAATGTGTATAAATAAAATGTTTAAAAATCATATTTATGTATTAAAATAATTTTTAAAAATGATTGCAAAGACAATCCATAGATAAGGTTAGGTAGAAAAATTAAGAACATAATTAGAAATTTTAGCATGTATATGCTGAGCAATTAAAACGTATCACCAACAAGGAAGCATCCAACAAATTTGAAATTTGCACTATGCGTTTATCTCGATAGTAAATTCAAATGGTTAGCATAGCAGAGCATGTGCAAATCATCCGCTCCAGTAGCCTTACGTAAAAATATCATAATAAAGAATAACAGTATATTATTTTAATAATAGAATTGAGTTACTTCCCGCTGGTCTTTTGCTTGGGAAACTTACCTAAGTCTCTTAAAAATCAATGAATTGATTGATTAAAAAACTGTCAGTCATTTGAGCAAGTTTCTGGGTTTAACAGAAAAATATTGTGGTTTATAGAGACTGAGTAATATCCTTCTGGAAAATCGGTGCTCGTGTTTTATGCATTATAAAGACAGATCGCACAGCAACAGGAAAAAAAACCTAGCGAAAGAATTAGGGCCTGTCGCTCAAGATACTGTGTTAGCATTACTTTTCCATGCTTTCTGCAGAAGAAAGAAATTTTTTAAAGGTGTCTGTGATACTTTCCTAGCGATGTGGTTCCATTGTTCCATATTTAACATAGACGTGATGTGACCGTTTCCATAAATCGTATGTAGTACAGAACAAACATTTTATTAGCAAACGAACAAAAAAAAAAAAAAAAAAAAAAAAAAAGATACAATCTACATAAAAAGTTAATAACGTAATATTTCTTCTGGCTTGCATCGTAACATGCTTAAGCCGTATTCCTCACAACATCCCCTTTCTAATTAATGTCTGTCCGACCAATACCACCTACATACAAAGACAAGGCACTACAGTTACTTGAACGCTCTGACACTTATTTACTTAAAACCAAGAACTTATGCAAGGAAAACAACGCTATGTTTGATTTTCTCTCGTCTTAAAAGAATAAGAGCGATAAGCGGTTTTATATGGCAACCACGCTTTCTGCAGATGAGGACGACTTTAGTGACGTAGTGTCAGCCGTGCCCTTGGCTTTGTATGTAGGTGGTATTGGTCTTACTTGGTGTTGCTTGAGAGGAAGGCGAAAGCGCGCTGGTTAGTGAGTGTGGATAAAGTGCGCATGCGTGGCGTTAATCGGATCACGACAGGTGTCCATTGTTATTGTTGCGCTTTCCTCTGACACTATATCGCAGGCGGTATGCAGCTGGAATGATGGGTTGAGAGTCGGATATGGATAAATGAATGGAATGACATTGCGTTTTTTATATTAGGCGGATATTTTAGCATACTTCTTGGCTAACGTTTTCACATTTCCATTCAGAATTATGCTTAACGTCACGTTTATATGATATTCAGGCCTATAAAAGTATCATTTTCATTTCTTTCCAAATATATTCTTTCAGTTAGGATAACGTCTAATGACTGTGTTGAAGTTTCCAGAATATGTGATACATTGGATAATAATTAGTCCTTCATAGTTGAAGTTTTGTGTTTGGTATCCTTATCTTCTTGAAAGTAAAAATTTACAGAAAGAGCCAATCTTGAAGCGCTATGTTTCAGACTGGTTATTAAAATGTTTAGCTAATCACATTTATTCAAATAGCAGCAGTTATGTACAAGTTTCCAGCACCACTTGCAGCCAAACATCAAGACACAATTTTATTTCTGGTCCCGGATATTTAGCCGACGAGAAACTTGCCGATTGCACATTTAGCCGACAAGGACATTTAGCTGGCAGGCTATTTAGCCAACGGGACATTTAGCTGACACAGACGTTTAGTCGATATGATATTTAGTCAACATGGATGTTTATCCGACATGACATTAATCCGACAGGACATCTAAACTCCACAGATATTTAGCCGACAGTACATTTAACCGATAACACATTTAGCTGACAACACCTACATTTAGCCAAAAGCACACCACAATTTGTAAAATGTGTCCTTATTTATACGATAAAAGCTTTTTTTATCGGATACACAACAAGAATCTTTACGGACAATTGCCACATTTTTGTCCTTATTCATTGCTATATAGAGTATTAGGTTTATAATTAGACAGAAAAGCAACCTTAAAGTTAGCAGAGAATTTCAAATCAATTTCGAAAAGAAAAAAAAGAGCGATCGGACATAGGTCTCTTTATTTCAGGAAGAAGAAAAATTTTAGTAGGTCAGATTTTATATGGAAAGCAATGGGTGGAGCAAAGCGAAAACGAGTATGGCGTGATCTGTCGAGGAAAATAATAATGAGGCGTGAGAAAGCTATGACATTAGAATTTTGAAAACGTTGACAAGGGCTAGATTCGAAAGTTAATGACGTTAACTAAAGAAGAAAAATTTTGTTAATGTGAAGTTTTGCTCTAGTTTTAAGCGTTTGATTTTTTACCTTGTTTTGATACATATTACAAGCTAATTAATAATAAATAAATTGATTTGAAAATTTTGTGGCAAGGTGATTTATGCATAATTCCCTTCCGTAACTGTAAACCATTCTAGAGAACATTGTTTGGCAACTTTTAACAGAAAAGGGTACCAAAACATAAAGCATGTTCTTTATTCAATTAATACTTGGCATTCTGGAAAATCGCCGAGGTAAAACTTCTTTACTTATTAAAAATGAATTTCTTTGTAAACGGTGAAAGGAAATGAAATACGTATTTTACGAGATGCCCACGAAGTCGTAAAAGCGTCTGAAAACTTCATTAGCCATTCTTGTATTTTAAACGAATCTTTCTGACACTTTGAGATTAAAATGCAGAATTAATACTCGTAACTTGAGTTCTAAAGCTCTGAAAGCTTTTATTACGTTATCATTCAACAGTAGAATTAAGAAGAAATTAAGGTTAACACAAACTGAAGACTCGTAAATTAACCTGTACAGTCATTAGGTTATTTTGAATCAGGAGATGTGAAAAATGTGCAATGCCTTCTCCGGGATTCGAGGAATTCGCGTCGAGTGTGCTACCGTTACACCACGAAGGCATGCTGGAAGGAGGGAGGAAGTACCTTATAAATTTTTCTTTTGCCGCCAAGCTAAAAATTAAAGAAAAATTTTAAAAGCAAATAAATCCCAAACGGTTTGTACGATTTTTATAAAATTTCATTTTGCAACATTTATTGGGATGTAGAATTGAAATATGGAGAAACCTTTCTCATTTCATTCCAGAAAAGTCCTATTTTTTGCTAAAAAACATGTCAGCTCAGTGCTATGAATAACTCTAATATTTAAGATGTAGTTTCGAGACGTTAAAAATGAAGTCGACTATCATCGATCAGCCGACTATCATGGAATGTAAAACATTTTAAACCATAACTGAATAAAAAATGTTCTCTTGGATAAATTCTCTGCAAAAGCATCCAATAAAAGGTGCAATTTCAATTTTTTTACTAATTATTCTTTAATTTTGTAATCCAATATATCAAAATATGAAGTTAAAATTTGTAACCTTTCTTTTGTAAACACAAACGCGGCCTAGCTCTAAAAGTACTTGTTAACAGAGCTCATGAACAGTTACAAAGACAATATACATAAAACAGCTGGAGGTCGACTGCAAGTTGTTCTCGTTGCTACTAGATGGAGTTTGATAAAATAGTTCGGTTACATACAACTAGTTCTGTTACAAATTTACAATGTATTAACATTATAAGAATATAAAAGGAATGGGCATATTTTACTATTTAGTATTAGATAACAGTTGAATTTCAATGGAAAAAAGTATTCTACTTTCAGTATTTAGCTGAACATCTAACCATTTCTCATACTTGCTTTTAAAGCACACTGACATGAGGAGCCCAATTCCACACTTATATGTAGTGATGAAAGGTGTTAAAATATTATTGGTATTTTTGATAAACTGCTAGATGGGTAGATAAACGGTATATATACCTATAGATACATATAAACATAGATACATTTAGATAGATTAGATATTTGGGTTCTTCCAGTTTTTTTCAGTAATAATTACAGAAATTTTCAGTCGGTTGTGAAACTATTGTGTGCCTTTTTTGGGGGTTGGGAGGGTTAGAGAAGATAATCCTGCTTTTAAATATTTTAGTCTTGAAGCGAAGGTCAATGATGTTAATATTGCTGTACTTTTAAAGAATGATTTTATGAAAAAAGTTGTTTTAAGTGATTTCAGTAAGAATTCACTAAATTACATTTTCGTTCAAGGAAAAGATGGAGTATAACCGTAACAGTCAAATTTTCTGTAAAACTGGGTTTTGAATTATACCTAAGAAAAAATCAGATGCTGACACTATCTAAATCTATCACAAGTAGAGTAAATATACTTACTATCAGTATCTCAGTATCTACAATAGTTTATGTTTAAATTTCACGTATTATTATTGTTAAGGAATATTCTTTGATATCGCCAAGAGATGGCGTTAGGAGTCCATCTATTGGCTTACTTGACCTTTCCCCTTCTGAACACGTGACTTGAAAAAATATTCTTCTTCTTGAAGGTAGAATTTCGATGCACTACGCAATAGAATTCGATTGAGATTTTAGCTGGAACTATTTCTTGCCTTTTGAGCATTAAATATTCGATTCAGGCATTTTAAATACATTGTATATATGTAAATATTAAGTTTAATTAAAATTTATGGAAAACCCTCCAGGCCATGCATCTCGTCTTTTGGATTATGAGTGATTCGACTTTGATCTAGAACTTTCGTTACATAATGGTCCATCGGCTCCAGAAAAGAATCTGATTAAATTTGTGTTTTTCGCCTTTTGGATTAGCTTTGTAAGCGAAGACTTCTCACGGTAAGTCTCCTTTGATAATTTATTAAAATGGAACAGAAGACACTAATTAAGAATCGAGC